GGGGGAGAAGAGCCCTACGCCCCGGCCCCAGTGCCCAGCGTCACACAGACTCTGCTACTGGCCTCTGAGCAAAGGCAAACCATGGAGTGGCAGGGAAGTGGGGTAGGAATACGAAACCCTTGGCAGAAACCCTTTTAATAAAGGACATCCCCCCACCCCGCCCCATCCTTCATGGAGGGCGAGACCTCACGCAGTGCCAGAGGGAGGGTCTTCCCTGGCGTTTAGGGGAACAGCTGCAGCTGGAACTTAGGGGCCCACTCCAGGGCACTCTTCACCACAGCCAGCGCGGCTGCTCCCAGCGCCACCGTCAGCCCCATCACCGCCAGTTTCACAAGGCGGTTGGTCCTTGGTTTGGTCAGGACGTCTTTTGTCCGATTCTCAGTCCGCAGTCCCCGAAACCGCTGCCGCAGTACCATGTCAGGCCTCTGCTGGGTGGATGCCAGCTCAAAGTCTTTGAAGGTAGAGGCTGCCGTTCTGGAGAAAAGGAGACAGGAAAAAGGAATATGAAAGAAATAGAGAAGGAAGGAAAGAAAAACTAGATCACATAGGCTGAGGGCAGAGCCGTCCACTGCTCAGAAACTTCTTGATAAAGACCCATCAAGACTGAAGTAGGGATTCTGCTGGCACAAGCTTAGAGCTCTGGAAACATCCCCAGCCCTGTCCAGACCAGACACCATCTTCCATCACTTCTGCTCACTAACAAACACCTCCCACCCCCAACCAGTGGCTTGGGTCCACTCACTTGTTGGCTTCCTGTTGGGCAGCTGCTTCCCAAGCAAGTCTAGAAGGGGGAAACTGAACAAAAAGGTCTCCGGCTCTACTGATCAGCATCTCATAGGGCAGGTCCTGAGGGATCTGGGACAACAGGTGGTGAACCGAGGCCATGTCACAGTCACAATCCAGGACTTCCTCCTCTCGATACAACACGATCTGTGGAGAGCAAGGCCTTCCATCAGGGACCAGAACATACAAGGTCTTGGCCATGTGCATTTCATTCTCCTTAGAGATGAATTTAAACTGGTGACAGGGCTCACACCAAACGTTCGGCAAACTCTTGTCTCCATCTGGGACATATAATGGACATATCTGAGTGCTTTTCCTACTGGGCTGGGTATTCCTGTTGGAGGCAAACTTCTACCCTCTCATGTGAAAGACTGCCCTTTAAATGAAGGAGATTCTTTTAGGAGGAAGAGGAGAGGGATTCCTGGAAGATTCCTGGAGTGCCAGCACAGACAACAATGGTTCAAACAGTAGAAAGAATGGTCTTGCTCTCATTAAAGAACAATGAAGAGTGCCTGTGAGCCCACACCTTCCCCCCGCCCCCACACTACCCCAATGATTCAGGCCCTCTCATAACTGGAGCACCCCCCAAAAATCTCAATTTTTATCATAATACCACAGCCCATCTTTTCTTAAACCCAAAGTTGGCAATTTGCACTCATTCCAGAAGATGACAACAAGAACACAGAATTCAAGTGTGGGGGAGCACTTTAAATGTTCAGAAGAATCCTATATAATAAAGAGCTAATATGCTAATAGACCGAACAGCTGAACGACCTTCCGGACGAAGCTGGGGCTGCAAGGGCTGGCTGAGGCAGCCGGGGGCTGTGAGGGCAGAGCTCTTTGCACTAATTTCGTGCATCGGGCCTCTAGTCTCATACTAAACAAATCTGTTTATCTTCATTTAACCAACATTTCCCAACCTTAGTGTTAGACAGAACATTTTTTCCCCCATGACATTCCCATTCCCATTGTACAAAATGGTGTCCAGGCACACCAGCCTGGGAAATGCTGTCTTCTGCATCTTTCCATAACCACCAGGTTTCCATTTAGGCAAAATGATCAAGCTGGAATGGGTGATGTGAACCTAGCTGCTCGCTTATGGCCTGTACCTACCACAGCTGCAAAGTAAATGGGCATCAGGGGGTGGCAGGCCAGGAAGAAGTCGTATAACCGCACCACGTGTCTGAAGTCAGACAGGACGTGCCCAAACCAGGTGATGAGCCAGCTGAGGGCAAAGATGGTCCCGACCTCAGCACTAGAAACAAGGAAATCCAGATGTTAGGTTCCCTGCTGAGTCATCCCTTCCCTTTTTCTGGGCCCTCTTTGTCCCCAGTGCGATGAGAAGGAAGCATTTGGGAAATGTACTTTATGGGAAATTCAGCCACCTAGGAATTCAGCATTTTCTCCTCAAAAAAACACAAAGTCTTTAAATTGTACTCCTCATCATGATATTAACACTACGATAGGTTCCTGATTGCCTTACTTCACCAGTTGCTCTAATGACCAACAAATGTCTACTACAGGGACAGAAAGTACCTATTTGCAGGAAACTATACCATAATTTTCCTTCTGAAAAAGTCATGCTCTTTTGGGGGGCACAGGTACATATTCTCAGGCTTGAAAACAACTCTATTGATTTTTTAGTTAACATGTGGTGACGGAAACATGTTAAGACACAGCTCTTATGTGAAAGGAAAAGGTCCTGGCCGGGCTGCTCAGTCGGTTAGAGCGTTGTCTCGATTCACCGAGGCTGCAGGTTCGATCCCCAGTCATGACACATATAAAAATCAACCAATGAATGCATAGGTAAGTGGAACAACAAAGTGATGTTTCTCTCCCTTTCCCTCTTTCTAAAAATCAATCAAAAAATTTTTTTAAAAAAGTCAGGCATTGGCCAAGGACAAATTTCCAACTAAACAGAAGAGAAATAAAAATCATATGAAATTTGCAAAGAAATATTTCTTCTCCTTGGTGCTCGGTAAATATCACCACCCACACATGGCCTTGTTTTCTTACCTCTGGATCCTACAGGGCTCTGCTTCTTTGTGGCAATAGCCTCAAAGTCTACCTTGGCATACTTAACCTGTCCACCTACTCCCTCTAGATGTAAACTCCTCAAGGGAATGAGCTGCCGCATCTCTTGTATCCCCCAAAGAGCAGGCACCCAAATGTGCTCTGAGACTGTGTACAGAACAGAACTATCCAGCTTGCTGGTTAACTAGAGAGAATAATTCAGGCCCGGCCAGCGTGGTTCAGTGGTTGAGTGTCGGCCTATGAACCAGGAGGTTATGGTTCGATTCCTGGTCAGGGCACATGCCCGGGATGCGGGCTCAATCCCCAGTGTGGGGCAGCGATAATTAATGATTCTCTCTCATCATTGATGTTTCTATCTTTCTTCCTCTCCCTTCCTCTCTGAAATCAATAAAAATATACCGCTCAGCTGGCTGACGGGCACCAGATGCCAGGCTCAGGGTGGTAAGCGCAGCTGTGATGGTGGCGGTGGCAGACACAGTGGGGCTGGGATGAGCGGGTGTGACATGGTGCTCGGCCTGGGGCTTGAGCTCCTCCCTGGACACCTACGGCTTTGTACACTACTATATTCCTTGGGGGATGTCGAACTGCCTGATCCCTACAGGGCCAAAACCGGCAGTCTGACATCCCCTGAGGGGTCCTAGACTGTGAGAGGGCGTAGGCCAGGCTGAGGGACCCCATCGATGCACGAATTTGTGCACTGGGCCTCTAGTAAGATAATTATGAGCTAGACTTGTGAGGAAGAAATAAAGGCTAGAGAAAAGTTGAAGGGGTGTGTGTGTATGTGTACCCATAAATACAGATACATATATACCTTTGCATGAAGTCATGGAGTTCTGGATTCACCTGGTCAATGATGGGCATTAGATAGTTTAATATATGTTTGGTGTTGTCCATTGTTGGATCCATGAAATCCCTAGAGGGAGACAATTCAATGAGTATGATCAGACCAAACACTTAGATAAGAGTGAGAATGAAATGGAGCTAAAACCATTGAAAATACTGATTAGAAAATGGGCTGAGGAGTTTGGGAAGTGATGCCCAGTCTCATATATCCCTCTGTGCTGGTACCTGAGGTGGTGGGTAGATACTTTTTCTACCAGGGATGTTGCCAGACTCTCTCCTACCACCAGCAGAAATGTGACCACAATGTCATGGTAGCCCTGGTAGTAATGCAGCTGAGGGTTGCGCTCCAAGACGAGCAGGATGATGTCGATCAGTTCTTCCTGGAGCCCTTCTCTCTGTTCTTTTGGCATGCCTGGGGTGGGGAGGAGAGATGCACTTAAGTATGGCAAGCAGCCTAGTAACACAGAGGTTAGGAATATGGACAGCAATGGATTTTCAGATAAAGTACTTAATAAAAGAAAATTTGCATCTTAGTAACACATTTCTAGTTCCACACACACATAAAATATGTGACATACAGAAAAGAGCCACCAACTAGCAACCTTACAGTGGGAGTCCAGCCACCTTCTTAACTAAGTCACCACTGTTCATAAGGCCAAAAGTGTGACTATTTGACAGCATGTCTCTCCTGATGTACTGAAAAGAACACAGCATCACTCCTGGGGTATTCCTATCAAGAATGTATAAACTGCCCTGGCCAGGTGTCTCTGGTGAGGATTAAAAAACAAAACAAAAAACAAACAAAACACACGAAATAATGTACTGACCTAAACATTAAGGAAATACCAAGCTCAAATTAAGGGAAATTTTATAAAATAACTGGCCTGTTGCTAGAGCATCAGCCCTCAGACTGAAGGGTCTTGGGTTAGATTCCGGGTCAAAGGCATGTGCTTTGGTTGGAGGCAACCAGTTGATGTGTGTCTTTCAGGAGGTCACGGATCAATTTCTGGTCAGGGCACATGCCCGGATTGTGGGCTCGACCCTCAGTGTGGGGTGTGCAGAGGCAGCCAATCAATGATTATCATCACTGATGTTTCTATCTCTCTCTCCCTCCCTCTCCCTTCCTCTTTGAAATCAATACATAACTGGACTGTCATAAAATATAAATAAACTATTCCAGGTTATATCAGGCTAAAGAGATATGATACCTGAATGGAAAATGCATGAATTTGTATTTCCTTTTCCTATAAAGGACATAACTGATATAAATGATGAAATCTGAATAAAATCTGTAGGTTAGACAGCAGTATTTTTTAATATTGTTACTGATTTTGATAAAAGTACTGTGATTATATATGAACCCTGTTTTTTAGGAACTACACCCTGAAATATGTAGAAACAAAGGGACACCATGTCTGTAATTTATTCTTAAATAATTCAGAAAGCAACTTATGTATGTGTGAGCCCACTGTATGGGAGAACATATTTGCTAATGATACATCTGATAAAGTGTTAATATCTAAAATATAAAAGGAACTCATACAACTTAACAAAAGGAAGAGAAACAATCCAATTAAAAAATGGGCAAAGGACCTAAATAGATACTTCTCCAAAGGGGACATACAGATGGCCAAGAGCCATATGAAAAAATGCTTGAAGTCACTGATCATCAGAGATGCAAATTAAAACAACAATGAGGTATCACCTCACACCTGTCAGAATGGTTACCATGAACAAATCAATAAATAACAAGTGTTGGTGAGGATGTGGAGGAACCCTAGCTGAACCGTTCTGGCTCAGTGGATAGAGCGTCGGCCTGCGGACTCAAAGGTCCCAGGTTCGCTTCTGGTCAAGGGCATGTACCTTGGTTGTGGGCACATCCCCATTGGGGGGCGTGCAGGAGGCAGCTGATCGATCTCTCTCATCGATGTTTCTGGCTCTCTATCCCTCTCCCTTCTTCTCTGTAAAAAATCAATAAAATATATTTTAAAAAAAGAGAGAGGAAAGGGAACCCTAGTGCATTGCTAGTGGAAATGCAGACTGGTGCAGCCAATATGGAAAACAGTATGGAGTTTCCTCAAAAAATTAAATATGGACCTGCCAATTCACCCAGTGATCCCACTTCTAGGAATATATTCTAAGAAATCTGAAACACCAGAACAACCAAGATGGCAACATAGGTAAACACCTACTTGCTGCCTCGCACGACTATATCAAAACTACAACTAAAAGACAAAACAGATATCATCCAGAGCCACAGGAAGACTGGCTGAGTGGAAGTTATACAACTACAGTGGGGCCTTGACTTACGAGTGTCCCGACTAAAGAGTTTTTCGAGATACGAGCCGTCTCTCGGCCGATTTTTTGCTTTGAGTTGCGAGCTAAAATTCGGATTACGAGCCAGCTTCAGATACCCCACCGCTAGTTGGCACAGCAAATGTCACAGTGAACGCCACAACATCAGCCCAGCATCACGTGTCTCATCGTTCACTTTAATGATTTGACATACGAGTAATTTGAGTTACGAGCTTTGTCACGGAACGAATTAAACTCATAAGTCAAGGCCCCACTGTAGAAGGAAAGAGAAAAGTGCACTGAGACTGGCAGGAGGTGCAGAAGGGCAGAGGTACGGACGTGGGTGCAGAAACAGGCTGGCAACTGGGTATGCTGTTGTCCTTTTCAATTGGGAGGGAGATACAAGCTCCCAACTGCTCTGAACTCCAGTTCCGGGCGAGACTCTGGGGACCCAGACTCACACCAGGAGAAAATGGACTATCTGGCATCTGCTGGAATGTGAGGGTGGCTTTCTCACAGAGGTGCTTGCAGCGATCATTGTTCCTGCACGGGGCCCCGGGACACAGAGACACCGGGACCTCTCTGGGACAGGGCTGACTGGCAGCCATTGCTGTCTGCTCTGCCCTGGTGATTCCCAGAAACACCGTCCCACCCAATTTAAAACCCACCCAAGCTGTACGCATAGGCTTTTGCATATGAATGGCCTGGCCTTTTACAATCTAAAACCTAACAAATTGCAGCTGGGTCAAAGAGCCCCAGAGCTTCCAAAAGAAGGCAGCCTGCAGTGCTTCACAGTAGCACCTCATCTGAGCACCTCCAAAACCCAAAGAGGAGGAATTTGCAGATCTCTCTGTAGCTCCTGCTGGGTGGCCTCAGGCAGTGGCTGACTTTGCACCTCCTTGGAGATCCAAGAGCCAGTGTATCCAGTGGTCAGAGTGAGACCATACCAGATTATAACTCCTAAGATCCATAAGGGACACAGTCAGGGGGCAGACTCAGTGAGCGCCAAAGCCCCACTGAAGCAAGTCCTACCCCATAAGGGTGTCTCCAGCACAGCAGTTCTCCCATTGTAGACACAACTAGTTCTCACAGCCAATTGACCTAGAGGTCAACTCCTTCCAATGATACCAATAGCAATCAAGGCTTAATTACAACAAGACTATGCACACAGCCCACAAAGGGGTGCACCAAGAGTGTCCACCTCAGGTAATTGGGGAGGCTGAGCCACTGGGCACTATAGGACACCTAGCACACAAAGCCACTCTATCAACACAGGGAAGCAGCCAAAATGCAGAGACAAAGAAACAGGT